AATTAAATAATCAGTTAATTCTGAGAAATAAAATTAGAGTATGCCTAGGATAACCATGGGGATTACCTGACCAGGCAGCCAGTTGATATAACGGCAATAACAGTCTTTTCTGAAATGGCACGAAGACAGTATGAATTATTTGGGACAGCAACTAGGCTGAGCACTTTTTGTGTTTTAACTATCACCAAGCGTGTGTCAGAATATGTCTTGTATATAAAGGTCTCACTTTTGACGACGCCCTCTGCTAGAATGCCTCTTGTGTGAAAAATGTCTTCGACAAGGTGCAATGTCATTTAATTATACTATATCAGTAATAGTATGGAACAGTTTAGAAAACGTAAATTTGACCTAGTAGAGAAAATAACTCGAAGAACTGCGCGACTGATCGTAAGACATGCTAGTGGGGGCAAGGGTCCTACTCTCGAGACGATTTAATCTAAGCTCCAAAAGCACTTTTCTAATCAAGCCCTTAGAAGTATGAGTGACGAAGTGCCGTGACGTTTTGTAACTATTTCACTGTCAATACAGAAACAGCGCTTTGAGGGACACCGAAGGGAAATATGTTCCATTCATTCCACTATAAATAAGATTTACATTTTTTTTTACATATTATAGTTACCGAATGTGCGGAATCCCTTAACCATTCCGGGTGAGTAATTTTTTTATCGTTCTTAAAATAATAGGAACTATGTAATTTTAAAATATAAATGTATAAATGCAGCTCAGATGTTAGCATTTTATATGTAAAAATTCCATAGCGTTTAGACATACTTTAAAGCTTGTGTAGTTTGTATATTTTTCTTATTTTAATCCAAGCGATACTGCATGATTGGTAACCTTCCGGTAAACAAGCCATCTGCGATCGTGACAAAATACCACACGAGTACTACAAGTAACATAGGGATACACACGAGTAACACACGCATTCATACGAGTACAAACGAATACATACGAGTAAAATAACGGCAAACAATATATAGATACATACGGATAACATACAGGTTACATACGAATACATAGCAGCAACATACGATGGGAGGAGCGTAATACGCATTAGATTAGCCATTTTTCCTTTTTATTACATCTAGAGCGCCTGAGTTGTCATGTCTTGTACTAATTGTGCACGCACACAGGTGCGCCACACACACGCGTACCACACAAATGCGCGTGTGACCCATACGCGCCTCACCACGCGCACCACTCGCACACAAACAAGCGTTTGCTCTGTTGGTTGTTTCTTCTAGACAAGCCAGATAGATATACCTAAATATCTTCCCATTTTTGGACCCTGATTGCGATGATGATTACGGTAATTGTAGCGCAAAATGTACTTTCCTCGAAGTAATAACGTATAATTCCAAGAGTAACGCCATCCCACCCCCCGCCCCTCCCACGAGAAAAACGGCTTCCCGAAAGTAACGCTATTTTACCACTAACACTAACGCTATTTTACCGATGGCTACTTGAATACCAAAATGAATCGTGTTATTTTTGATAGAACGTTTCAAGTAGTATTAGTTACATTGTTATATAATGCGACCATTACTTTCGCCCTACAGCATCAACAATTGGGGCTTTTTAATTGTTTATACAGTCTGCTTTGTTTAAGTGGGTAGTTCGTAACACACATTAACGGAGCTTTTCATTTCATATGTTACGCGTCTGCTTTGTCTGAAGCGACTGTCACCGTAAAAACGCTTTTTAACCATCTGAAAGTAACGGCTACCCGAAACAAGCGGCCCCTTTTGCCTGTTAAACCCGGAAGTAACAGTGGCTGTTACTTTCGGAATTAAATTTATTGGTTATGTAAATAATATTCCCTTCAATAGTGCAAGACAGAAAAAAACACTTTTCAATAAACCCTGGAAATAACGAGCACACTTTGAAATAAATTTTCCTCTTAACAAAGCGTCAATCAATGTATATTGAAAATTGAACAATCGTCCATTAATTCGTGAGGTGGGTAACTGTAACCAAACATACTCGAGAACTGCAACGAACCATGAAGCTATAAAAATCTGTCTCGTGATAAAAAGAGGAAAAAATATATGAACTGTTTAAAAACTATACAATAACAAAATCATGATGTAAATCAAGAGATATTTTCAATAAAACTTGGATCAAGGCATAACCATAAAACGAGGAAAATCATTAAAGTTATTAACTTTTATTTAATCAAAGCTATTGATTTTGATCCTTTCTTTAAACTTGCATTGGTACGCATGTTTCCCAAACACGCGCCTTATATCCCCCTGCCATCGTATATTTGTATGCAACCTGCATGTTACTCGTATTTATCTGTATGTATTCGTATATCACTCGTATGTATTCGTA